TTACTGCTCAATCAGTGGGACCCCTAATAGCAGCACACTTATCAAGTTCCCTGTCAAGGGTAGATGGACTTCGCTCGTGCACTGTCTGGAAGGTGGGATACAACAGTGTACAGGTAGAAGACTTAAGCATGTAAAAAAATGTATGTGTACAGGATACATGTACTGATTAAGTTCATTAACCAAGTTTCATGCTTTGTGAATTTCCTAAAGTTTTCTCACAAATATACAAATATATATTCAATATAATTCAAAAATTCTAAATTTGAAAGTACAGTGTATATATAAAAATGCCTGTATGTGTTAGAGAATATTCATCCTGTCTTGCCAAATACCATATTCGTATCATCAAATAAATAAGTGAAAACTACACTTATGTTTTCATAGGCGAGGCATGAATACAAATATTTTTCAGCCATACTGAATACACATAGCGACAATGGCAATATTAGGCAAAGGAGTTTGTTCACGGATGTCTCAGAATGGTAGTGTTTCATAATCCCTTCTACACATGACGTCATAAATTCATAAAATGGTGTCATCACCATCTTTAATGCTTTATAGAGTGGCCATTTAAGTTTATCATCATGACCTGGTAGAAATATGGGATTCATATCACTGATAGTTAAATAAAACTGAAAAGAAGTGACAGAATTCATGATTCTTTCCAACAACTGTAATTATTTTGTCAAGGCATGATTCACAATTATTTCATATGCTGATCTCAGAACCCCATGACTTGACACATTAAATTAACATGAAGAATCTGGAGTTCTTTGTCTTCTTTTGACAAATGATTTATGCTCCTACTGTTTCAGAGGGCAGTGTGTATTTGTGCCATGACAAGATGTGCCGCATTACACAGACATCATAAATACCCATGATTGAGTGAGTCTAGTTTTACGCCGCTTTTAGCAATATTCCAGCAATATCAAGGCGGGGGACACCGGAAATGGGCTTCACATACCATAACTACTTGGATGATGGCTTCTGTTTAAGATTAATATCATCATTTGTAAGTTAATGACTTGTTTTACTGTTGTTCATGTGGTTAGTGAGAAAAGACATGTTCAGAAGTGTCTGAAAACCCAAAATACATGTATAATGATGCTTTATGCACAAACAATGAAGATCGTAAGTAGAGACCAACTCATGGATACAGTGTGACACATAGAGACGCAGATTTACATACAAACTCTAACAACACTATGTAACAGGTTAAGATGCACTGTACAGAGTAAAGAAACTTCAAACTGTGGAATGGAAATAGTAAAGACACACAATGTAGATAAATTGTGTTAGACACAACTGCATACGTGTTAAGGTGTTAATTAACAGTGTAGTGTAATGAGTACAGGGTAACAAGTTCAGTCACAAAAATAGATAACAAGTGTCGATTTACACCATGTTTCGTAGTGTTGCTGTGATTATATGGTGGAAAGAGGAGTGTCAAAAATCTACACGAAGTGTCAATTTACAAAATGTAGCAGTGTAGATAGTGTCAGTACAGTCACAGATCGACACATGAAGTGTCAGTTTACACAACATGGTGTTACTGTGCAGATGCAGAGTAAAGAGTACAGTCACAGATTGACGCATGAAGTGCCAGTTTACACAGCATGGTGTAACTGTGCAGATGCAGTGTAAAGAGTACAGTCACAGATTGACACATGAAGTGTCAGTTTACACAGCATCGTGTAACTGTGCAGATGCAGTGTAAAGAGTACAGTCACAGATTGACGCATGAAGTGTCAGTTTACACAGTATGGTGTAACTGTGCAGACGCAGTGTAAAGAGTACAGTCACAGATTGACGCATGAAGTGTCACTTTACACAGTATCGTGTAACTGTGCAGATGCAGTGTAAAGAGTACAGTCACAGATCGACACATGAAGTGTCAGTTTACACAGTATCGTGTAACTGTGCAGATGCAGTGTAAAGAGTACAGTCACAGATTGACACATGAAGTGTCAGTTTACACAGCATGGTGTAACTGTGCAGATGCAGTGTAAAGAGTACAATCACAGATCGACACATGATGTGTCAGTTAACAGTGCAGGGTAGCTGTGAAGAGAACAGTTACAGACTGACACATGAAGTGCCATTGTACACAGTGTAGTGATGCTATGTAGATACAGTGTATAGAGTACAGTAATTTGCTGAAAGAATTGTGGCTGTAATTGCAGTGCAAGTGTAACAAGTGACATTCCACACATGTTTATCTGAAAAATAAATTGACAATAAAAGCAAACTTTGGACAAAACATAATCCTTGCATCTAGATCAAGAGTAATGAGTGATTTTTACACCATTTTACAGTAGTCAGTGATATCACAGTGGTCAGTTTTCAATACTGGGGCAAGTGACCTAAGAGGGAGTAAAATTACTTTGAAAAGTATTATTTATTGCTGTCTTCTTAATGAAAGCCAAAACCAAACCAGTGATTTCATCAGCAGTAACTGAAATTGTACTGACAGACTGACGATCATAACCTGGGGAAAAAATAATATGGTTACAGATCCTGAAGTGAGTGAGTAAGTTTACTTTTACGAGTCATTCAGCAATATTCCAGCTATATGGCACCTGTCTGTAAACATTCGAGTCTGGACCAGACAATCCAGTGATCAACAGCATGAGCATCAATCTACACAATTGGGATACGATGACATGTGTCAACGAAGTTATTGAGCCTGACCACCCGATCTCGTTAGTTGCCTCTTACAACTGAAGATCAATCCTAACCCGGACCTTCACGGGTTTAACAGATCCTGGTACAATAAAGGGACATAACAGATAACTGTGGTCCTTCTAAACAAAAGATAGTATCCACAATGCTGTATATTATGAAACATTAACAACATAATAATAGTGGGGCTTGCTCACCACTTCAAAACTAAGGGAATATGTTTCATGGTGAAGGATGAGTTGTAAGCAACATTTATCAGCTGATGTAGTGCCAAAGCATTTCAGCACAGCAGTATGTGACATGAATAGCTAATACAGACCTTTCACCAATTGTCCAAAGTGAGAGGTTATTTTGCACTAGATGGAGTGATTGTGAGATGCATGTAATTATATTTCCCACGAGAATTAATGATAAATGAGGCTACAGATAAAAATGTTACTTTTAGGTGCGGACAAGCTTACTCTTCAAATGCACTTACTATCAAGGAAATGACATTTGCTCATTTCACAAGCCAACATTTTAGAGAAACTATTATGTGTATGAGTGAGTGAGTGTGTGAGTAAAGTTCAGGTGTGTTTTAACAGAGTTCAAGTCCATCATGTAGGGTGGTTATTATGTTACAGGTAAGACACAGTTAGAGAGCTTGTAGAGCTTGACTATGTGGAAGAACCTCATGGTGCAACATTGCAATATTCCAGCCATATCACGAGATACTGTATATGATGGAGCCAGGCAAACCAGAGGGTGATAAAATGAGCACTGATCTTCTCAGGATCAGAAGTGCAGCTATGAGACACGCTGCGCCCTCATGTCAGCATGAGTCAGATCTAACAACTTTCTGCCCTACAAATCCTACAGGAAATCGTTACTGTGAGGCTACAATATTGCTTCATGACACCTGTGATCCCTCACAACTTCTTAAGCTTGCCCTCCTAGCTATGGGGAAACACTTTGACTAAAGTCTGACTTCAGGTACAGCAAGGTAAACATGACATACTGCAGACTTCATTACCAGTAGTATTATGGCTTATGTTTTGTGCCTCGTTCTACTAAGCAATCCTAGCGCTAAGATTGTTGCAAGTCTATGTTACGGTACTGGACTTATGAGCATCTTAGCACTATGATCACTATGAGGAACAGGTCCCGGACTAACTCATCTATGACAACAGACTCCCTGCTTGAACAGTATCTCCCTGATGCTGGAATGTGTAACCATCGTAACAGCATTATTGCCTTACGAGTACATTAGAAAGAAGGCAATATTTCTCTCATATTTACAAGTCTATGGTTAAATATTGAATACTTACCTTAAATACAAACAATCAACATAACAAGTCAACACAGTCAGTATTTACAAATGAAACATCTACATACTGATCATTTTAAACATCACACCCCTTACACCACAAAGGGGTCCAAAGACGACCATTGACAATGAACAGAAAAATTCATGACATTAATGCCCTACCCACAAACAAGCTTACTTGATCATGACATAATAAATATTCAAATATCAAAAGCATACTATTCCCTCATCAAAATTAATAAATATGATCAATTATCATACAAACATCCTTTTTTTCACATGATAGTTGAAAGATATCATGAATTAATAAACTACAGAACACATTCATCATTGCACCAGGTGTGTCGTCCTCCACAAGAACACACTATGAATGAAGACAGGTTCCCCTTCTGGCTCTCATTCTCAATAAGTATCTCGGGTATCTCAACTAATGTCAGTCTCACTCCCATCCTTCATTTTTATAAACACTTTGTGCAAAAACCATGTGAAGAACTAAAGTCAAAACATACTTTCACCAGCTTCAAATCTCAACATATCAATGAACAAAAGCAAGAGTAATGGTAATAACAGTCTCAGTTCATGATAATTTTCACACAAAATACATGGAGCATAATGCCGAAAGACAAGTTTGGGCTAGTAGATTCAAAAGCATTTGGCACAGAGAGGATGTCATCACATCTTCCTGGTAATCCTGGACACAGCCTTCAGGTTCCGGTTCCATGGTCACCTGCTGAACTGATATAAAGCATCAAGTTGTTCTTGGCTCGACAAATCCAACTCCAGAGAATACACAGTTTTGAAGCTTCGGGAAAATATACATCCTTACACTTATGTAGGAATTATGAAATCTTAGTTACCTGGGTCACTTGTCACAGCAACAGAGTTGTAATTGAATTGTACTGATATAAAGCATCAAGTTGTTCTTGGCTCGACAAATCCAACTCCAGAGAAAACACAGTTTTGAAGCTTTTGGAAAAGATACATACTTTTACTCATGCAGGAATTATGAAATCTCAGTCACCTGGGTAACTTGTGACAGTCAGAGAGTTGTAATTGAATCCTGTTGCAGTCTATGAACTGATGTTGAACAGTGAGTAAATGAGTGTGATGGAATGCTTCTTTTAGCACTATTCCTCATACCTGAAGAACACTTTACCCACAGGACTGTCCTGAGGCTATTGCTGGAACAACGACTGGGTCTATGACAGTACCTAACACAACATGATCACTCCGTAATTATGTCCAGAATCCTGCCCACTTCAGGGTTGAGTTCCTTCCAGTGTTTCTTCAACAGCTGTAGAAACTTCTCCTTCTCACTTGGACTCTGAATAAAGAGTCGCACACAGAACTCTGGGCGGGGTTCTCTCCCCTTGATGATACTCTCCTCACTGAAGTAGTCAAGTGACGCATCAACCACCAACTCCTCTTTCTCATCACTGAATATCAACTGGATCACATTCAGGTAATTGGAGTACAGAACAACCCTCTTCAAGTTTTCAATTTTACGAGACTCGACAATCAGATGTTGTGGATTTTCAGGCAGACCTCTCACAAAGTCAGGCAGAGGGTAGGTCACAATATCCTCTTCAGCCAGGCAGATGTGGGTACTACTTAAGATTATTGTCCTTGTTAAAATTCTATCTGTTGATCCTGTCAAGAACTCCTCTGGAACCACATAACCCAAAATGTACATCCACAATGTCAGTTTGCTGTTGTTCGGTAGAGAACCGTGAACCTTCTCCTTCACAAGATACAAAATGTCTTCTATAGCATCTTCTCCTGGATAGCAGAAGCGAACTTGACTGGGATGAATATATTCCAGGCCTTCAATGGTGGACTTGGTCCTCTTGGTGAATGCCTTGTAGAAGTCCTGTTCAAGGTCCTGCTTGTCCTTGTCAATCATGGGGGATGTGGCCAAAAGTGAGAGAATTCCTGTCATACTCTGGAGGAAGTTACCAGTGGCTACACTTTCTCTGATGGCCAGGGTAAACACTGTTTGAGCATCTTGACCTGTCAGTCTAATACACTGGTCAAACAGACCCACATTAACCTGCTGGAGATCTGAGTACTTCAACACACAGTATGGCTTGATGGTGCCTCGTTTCTTTATCTTGTGGACACTCCTATCTGAACCATCTTTGCCCACATCAGTTTTCCAGGCAAAAGCTGAGTCTGACTGGTGTCTGGCATGGGTCATCCAGGGAGGTCTGGAACTTGACTCTGACTTGTGTGAGGAGTCGGACACGAAGTAAATCCCCCTTGTGCTGAGCATGACTAGTGTTGGGATCTCCATCTTTGGGTTGCTGTAAGGTACAACATTTGTCCAGAGAACATGGTGCAGCTCCTCCATGAGGCCTCCCCGATCTGGAGAAGTCTTTCCTGCTATGACTGTATGGAAGAATGTTGCCAAGTCTCTTCCATCCATCAGAGCAAATGGTTTCAGCTTTGAAGGGAGAGAATGGATGAGTTTATAGTCTCTAATGCATAGTTTCAAGTGGTCCTCCAGCTCACCACTGAGGTAGGCCAGCATCAGGGAATCCACTTCACCTACATTCACATCTACTGATGGATAAACAGCCTCTTTGGAAGTGCGCTTTTTCATTGAAGTATAGTGCACTGGATTATCGCTTTCAACAGGTTCAGGTTGGTGGGGGGTTTGAATCTGAATCTTAATCTCAGAGGGTAAAGTTTTTACACTGGCATGCGTCTTGGACACATAATATTTGCTTATGTCAAAACTGGATGGTAAGGAACTTGCTGACGGCAGCCTACCCATCCTCTTTGAGTCTGGGGGATCAACAAGTTCATTCCCTCCCTCCGGCTCTTCTCGCAGTGTGGGTGACATCCGGTGGGCATGCTCTGCTCGAAGGTTTGTCAGTCGGTCAAGGTAAAAATCACGTGAGGATGTGGAAGGGAATAGAACATCAAACAATTTTGGTCCTGCAGTCTCATGGAAAATCATGGACAATCCAAATTCAGCAAATCTGACATTTGTTTCCCTTAACTGTGACTTTGGAGTTGTAACTGAATTCACTGCACTGTACATGCTGATGTTGCTGATTCTATCTGTTATTGGGTGGTTCTGCATCACGCCAATCTGAAGCATCTCCTCAGACTCGGCCTCGAAGGAGGGCAGTGGCCAGTAGATAGAGTCAATGTCTATAAGGTAAACTCTGTTCTCTGACAGCACAAGCAAGCATCTTGAATGGGAGGGTTTGGCTACCACAACACAGGAATAAACAATGCGATCAGAGGAAGAACCAAATTTGTCTTCCATATTGAAAATTTGACGAGAAATATCAGAATCACAAGACAAATCTAAGATATCTGGAGCATTCAGACTTTTCATACCTTCACAATTCAATTTGACAGACTCTACATATGTCTTCAAAACTGAAGGGTCCAGCCCTATCAGAATGAAGGTGCCCATCTTCCCAACAAAGGATTCTTCAAGCTTCACATAAGCCAAACAACAGCCCAGAACAATCTGCTGGATATTGCACATAGGGAGGATGTAGAAGGGTTCAAAGTCAGGCACACCGGGCAACCCTGAGTCGAGATCAGTCAGTCTCTCAATGAAAATCTTACTCTTAGTTAACACAGCACAGCAAGAGAAAAACACAGTGGGATTAGAGTACTGGACAGCGTTACACCACAGGATGTCCAATATGTTCTCTTTAGTGCTCTCCCTTGATGGGCTTCCTCCTCCTATCAGTTGCTTCTGCAGCCAGCTCCGGGAACTCTGTGTTTGCACTGGTTGGAAGATCTGCATAGTTGATCACAGCCAACTTGCTGCTAGATAAGAAAAAACCCGCAATAGACATTTTCACTGGTGACTATTTTCATGCAAAAAGCTGAGGGTAGTGAGGGACTTAACACCTCATTGCAGTAATATGTACCATAGCTCACCAACCAAAAATATTACTTTCAAAATGAAAAGAATACACATAAACCACTTAATAAAAATAATTAACAAAATATTCTTTGTTCGAAATTGAAAATGTTAATATAAATTATATATTAATATACTTATCCTATCTCACAGTATGCACTTCTCTCTCTTGATTTCGACACTGAGTGGAAACGATGTAATCTTTTATATATCCATCCATCTCTCTTGTCCATCCGCCCAAGCACTCCATGCTACCCTCATTATAAGGCAGCTTCCTAGCTCTCATGCAAAACATGTGGCATGCACCACTAGCTGCCCACGTGACTATCTCCGAATCATCATTCTCATTCTTGGAGCCACTGGATAATATCCATCTTGGAGAATCTGCATAGCGGGGTGGGAATCCGTCGCGTGAGATAGGATAAGTATATTTATATGAAAATTTTCAAATTTTTAAACTTATCCTATCTCACAGTATGCACTTATCCCACGGTCGGACGGCGAGACGCAGATACCCTGTGTCTTGATAGTGTGAACAGCAGGAACTGTGTAGACTGGAAACGACCGTAGATGGTGATGCACAAGGGAGGCCTGTTACGCATTCAGGCAAGTCCTATGCTTGTGCTGAGTTCTCTTGAACTCCTTGGCATAATAAGCACAACGGAGATAGGTGCTCCCGAGCGATGTGGGGTTCAGGCGCAACCTCCAAAGAAGGACGCAGCTCTGTGAGAAAGGATGTCACTTCGCCACGATTTTCAAGGTACCCTCGTAAATTAAAATCGGTTGACAATAATCGGGCCAGGCCCTGCTTTGAGAAGACCCCCACAGACACCGACCAGGGGCGGGTGAAAGAGAAGCACAACTCAGGAACTCCAAGTTTTAACGTTCAGTTCCCGGGACAGCATCAAATTGACCCTCACTCCTTTGCATAAGCCTTGTCAAAGGATGTGCCCGGCAACTTCGGAGTCGAAACGCAACTAAATCCACTGGAAATCGGGAGTGACACACTTCACTGACGTAATTGCTCCAAAAAGTAGAGGTCAGGAAACGTGAAATGTCGAACCCTTCCACATCGTGATACAGAAACGAGCTCCAGATTCGTCCGACCACCAAGGTGGTAGTATCTCCGTGTCTTAGTATAAAACTAAGTGAAGTAGTTCTAACCCATAAGCAATCAAAACATAAGGCAGACAGCAAGTTCAGACTTATATTCAAGAAAATACAGGGAAGCAGCAACCGCGAGGGACCGTTCCCTATCTGCGTTGGTGGGCCGTAGACAGCTGTTGTGCGAGCACAAGGGGTCCAAACTGGTGCAGGCCTTGGACATCCTTGACTGAGAGGTCTCGAAGGTAGTGCGAGGAGAAGACCGAGTCGGATCGCCAGAAACATCCTTCCATAATGGCGTGGAGAGAGCAGTTACTATGCAGAGCCATTGTAGACGCTAACGCCCGTGTCTCATGTGGATTGGAAGCTGTCGGAGGCGGTAACCCAGCGAAGGTGTAAGCCCGTAGGATGGTGGCTCTCATCCAGAAGGATAAAGTGGTGCGAGACACTTCCGCCCTGGATGTTGAGGACAACGGAATGAAGAGGCGCTTGCGGAGACGGCGGCGATCTTTAGAAGCAGCAAGAAAAATCTTCAAAGCCCTAACAGGGCAAAGCTGCAGGTCTTCATTGTCATGCGGCCCAAGGATTGTGGACAACGGTGGGATGGTAAAAGTACGATCGGGTTGTCCCGGCAACTGATTCTTCGCTACAAAATCCCAACGGAGACCGAGGAAGACTTTGCCATGCTTCTTCCGTTCAAACTGGACTCTGTTAACGTCCAAAGCGTGGAGTTCAGAAATCCGAGCAGCTGTAGCCAAGGCCACAAGGAAGAAGGTCTTGAAGGAGATCTTCTCAAAGTCCTTCTGAGCTAGGGGTTCATAGTCCGCCGAGGCCAAATGACGCAGCACCACAGATAAATCCCAAGCAGGAGGTCTAAACTTCTTAGACTGATTGGCCAACTTGAAGGACCGGAGCAAATACTGAAGCTCAGGAACCGTGGAGACCTTAGAGCCTGTGGTGGTAGCCAGGACCAAGTTGATCGCAGCAAGGTAAGTGGCCAAAGTGGAACCCTTGAGCTTCTTAGACGACCGCAAATGCTGAAGAAACTCAGCGACAATTTGAAGCAAAGTAGAAACAGGAGATGTAATGCCTCTGGACGTGCAATATCTCTCAAAACATTTCCACTTCTCATCATAAAGTGAGCAGGTGGAAGTCTGATGAGCAGAAGTGACGGCCATAGCCACTCTCCGAGAATACCCCTTGGCGATTATGGACTTCTGCAGATGCGCCAAACATGCAGAGAAAGGGTGTGAAGGGATACATGACGCCGATCCGAGTGAGGGTGTAACAGTAGGTCGTCCCGATCGGGAAGAGGAACTGGGTTCAGGTCTGCGAGCTGTGCGAGATCGACAAACCAACTCCTGACTGGCCAGTAAGGCACGACCAAAATCAGTAGAATCTGCCTGGTCGCTCTGAGTTTCTGGATGACTCTTGGTAGAAGAGCCGGAGGTGGAAAGGCGTAAGCGTTGAGTGCCTCCCACGAAATCACCAGAGCGTCGAGATCCCACGCTAATTGGTCTGGTATCGGCGAGCCAAACTGCGGGAGCTGATGGTTGAACCGCGTGGCGAATAGGTCGACTTGGGGCCTTGATAACGGGAAGACCAGTTCCCGAAAGATCTGTGGGTTCAATTGCCACTCCGTGGGAGATGGCCAATCGGAGCGGGACAGCGCATCTGCGATGACATTCCTGACTCCGGGAATGTGTCTGGCTTGAGCATCGATGGCGAGGGAGTCGATCAGATGGAAGAACCGAAACGCCAACTGAAGAAGGTTCGCCGAACCCGTCGACCCGAGATGGTTGATGTACCAGACGACCGAGGAGTTGTCTGTCTGAATCAGCAGGGAGGACCCCCGAAGTTCCGTTGCCCAATGTCGAATGGCAAGAAGAACCGCCAAGAACTCGAGTTCGTTGATGTGCAAGTCCCGTTCTGCGGATGACCACAGCCCGGCTGTCTGATGATGAAGAAAGTGAGCCCCCAACCTTTGAGCGACATGCGTCAACGAACAAGTGGTGCGTTGGAATGAACGGCATCAAACAAACTCCGGCGCAAATGTTCTGTTCGACAAGCCACCACTGAAGAAAAGGACGTAAGGGTTCGGGAAGACGAATCAACTCCTGGAGATTCTCTGAGACGAGATACGGACGCAGGAAACGCTGCAACGGATGCAGTTGCAATTGTCCCCGCCGTGTCAATGCCTGTGCCGATGTCAAGAGGCCCAACAGTTCCTGCCACTGTCGTAAGGTCCTGGCCTGCGACAGTGCTAACGGAACTAGCCGTTGAATCTTCAGCCACCTGTCTTGGGGACGAAAATCAGGCCCTGGTGCGTGTCGAAAGTTGCTCCGATGAATTGAAGGGTCTGGGTCGGTGTTAGTTCCGACTTCGCAGCGTTTAACAACCAACCTAGTTGCCGGAGTAGCTTCGTACTGAACTCCAACTGACGTAGAAGAACGACTGGGTCTCTCTGTGCCTGAATGCAGTCGTCTATGTAACTTTTGAACACGACCCCGTGGAGATGAAGAAACCTGGTGATCGGCTTGGTGATCCTGGTAAATAGCCACGGGGCCGTGGAAATTCCAAAAGGCAGGACGGTCCATTGATAATGGATCCCTTGGAATACGAATCGGAGGAATTTCCGCGAATCTGGATGAATGGGCACATGAAGATAAGCATCTTGAAGGTCTAGGCTGACAAGAAAATCCCCTTTCTTCAGGATGGTGCGAAGAAGGACAATCGATACCATCCGGAAGTGAGGTGGGCGCTGGAGATAGTGGGCATTGAAAAGTTTCATGTTGAAAATGAGTCTTAGTTTTGTGGAGTTTTTCTTGGGAACCAGAAAGATGGGGAATAGAACCCCGGAGTGCTGGGGGCCGGACCGAGAGACTGGACTGCACATTTCTCTATGAGTGTACCTATGGTGGAGTGAAGAACCTGGACCTGGTCCGCCGGGTAGCTGCAGTGTACTGGATGCACTGTCAGCGGTGGACGTCCGATGACTGGAAGGTGATAGCCTGTGGCGAGGAGGTCGGTCATGAAAGGATCGCCAAGTATGGTCCAGTTGGGAGCGAACCTCCCTAGTCTCCCGCCCACTGGAGAGTCGTAAATGGGGACGGCTGGAGGAGGGAGTTCCCAGTCGTGCCCTTGTTTCGACGAGTCACTGCTTGGGGCCCCACTCCCAGCTTGGGAGTCGGACTTGGGAGGACGTCGGGAAGAAGTGCCACGGGAGGACCTGCTACCTCTAGCTTGGGACGAATGGCCACGAAAACCCTGATGCAGTTCCGGATGAGACAGCACGAACCGATGGAGGCCTCCTCTGTATCATGGAAACTTGCAGATGAGACTTCTGGAGTTTCAATAATTCCACGAAACTTGAAATTGAGTGTCCCGATCCACCTTCGTCGAAACTTCCCCAATCATGCCATTAAACAAGGATTCTGCAGACCACGGTTGATGGAAGAGTTCAGCCTTAAACCTGTCATCCCATGAAGACAAATTGAGTGGGCCGCGACGTCGAACTGCCAGGAGATAGCCAAGGAAATGAGACAGCTGGTCAAGTACGATCTGAAATTGGTCCAGTATAAGGGACATACAGCCTCTGATGTAAGCATCCTGATCGGTGAAAGAGTGCTCCACTGATGCCGCAACCGCGTCCACCGCCGAGATGATGCAATTGATCGAGGGTAAGGAACAACGAATAGCTGTGTCCATGTGAGACAGTTCTCTGTCTTCAACTAGAAAAGCTGAACAAGTCCTCTTCCCGCAAAGTGTTTGGACATCCTCATCCACTGAAGGGGTAGTAGCCAAGGACTGGAAACCATGGGAGTGAGCTGCTGGTAGCGAAAACCTAGGCGAAGACAGGCCATCCTTAATCCTTTTAAGGCTTTTAAAGGCATGATCCAAGGACGTAGTGAGATGAGCAATACAAGGCCGTGGTGGGAAGGTAATAGATGTCAAGTCTCGTTGTCTCATGGAGAAGGAATGAGATAAATCCTCCGGGTTCTGTGACATAGGGAGGTGGAGTTTCTCCACTATCCAAGCTAAAACTTGAGGTTCATCAACAAAATCCAAACTTTCCTCTGGGGAATCCACAACCGAATGTGCTGGAGACGTAGGATCAGGTGGAACACCAGGACTAGGTGCCGTAACAGATGGTCCGAGGGGAGGAGCATTTCCCGTAGAGTGAGCAGCCTGTTGTTGATTCCAAGCAGTAGTAAGAGCACTTAACATCGCAGCCAGATCTGGGGAGGAGTAGTTTCCTGCGCAGGAGTCCAGGAATCTGGTACAATCCGAGTAGAGAGACGCGAGGAGGCAGGAGTCCCGTCAGAAGTCATAGCACGCTGAGATCATAACTCGGAAAACCGTTGATTAGATCGACGATCCATAGAACCATATCTATGTCTGGAGGGGGACGAACCGGGAGAGGATGCACAAATGGAGACCTGCTGAGGAGAATGGGAGCGAGGAAGGGAGATATCGCAACGATAACGACGATCCCTGGATCTTGAACGATAGGCAGCAGTCAACCGTGTAGGAGATCTAGGTTGATGGGTCGAGTGCGCAGAACCGGAAGTCCCATGATGACAAGAAAACGAATTCCGAGGAGGTGACTTGGAACGAAGAACCGATCTCAACGAAGCAGAGGGAGGCGTGTGCTTAGTTGAATGCGAACGAAGTCGAAGAGTGGCGTCTCGGCGGTGAAGTAGACCTATCAGGTCTATCCGGTGAACAAATCCGAATAATAATAGGAGACTGATCCAGACGACTCGGTGAAAGCCGCGTCCGTGCTGAGGAGGCGTGACTGTAGGATCCAACAGAGTTCGGGGAAGTACTCAGGATGATCCGGAGAGAGGCATTCCGCTGAATACCGCTTGGAAGAAGGCCGTTTCGGCGAAAGTCTATTCACCACATGCCGTTTCGGTGAAGCATTCCGTTTTGGCGAACGTTGTTTCGACAAAGTACGATTAGGTGAAGTCCGTTTAGCAGACGATCGATCCAGAGAATGCTGACTCTTAGACTGGTGTTTCGATGAAGACCGGTTCGGCGAAAGCTGTTTCGTAGAGAGCCGGTCTAATTCTGGGGAAGGTGGACAGTCCGGCGAAAGTCGAGGTGGAGGGGAGAGGACAGGCAAAGCGTGATCCGACGAACTGTGATTCGATCTGGCAGGCTTCGGGAAGCAGAAGATCGAGGTAGCTGGACACAAGACACACTTCTTTTCGCCGAATGGGAAGGAGACGGTGAAGTAACCACTGACAGGCGTTGAGGCGAGGTAGACTGGTTCCTCTCACTACTGGATGAACGACGAGAGCGAGAACGGCTTCTGCGCATGCGCTCTGCGCAGTCAGGTGTAGAGATCAGCTGATTCTTGTCCGAAACAGATAAGCCAGGTTGCCGAGATAACTGGTCCGGTGAACGAGAGACAGAGAGTGTAGTTCGAAGGTCCCGCTGTGTAGAGGTATCCTGAGGGGTGGTAGCAGTCTCGACAACCACTACCCGGGACGTGGTCGAAGGCGAAGGACTCGGGCTGGAATGTTGAGAGCCCAACAAATGCCGAACATCTTCTGATAAGTAAGAATCTGACGACGCTCTCATGAAATCCTCTTCATTCTAGTGAGGGGACTGTGACCGCCGAGCAGACAAAGTAGGACGCTTAAACTTTCCTTTCTTGGAGGGACTGGGTCCGTCAAGTGAAGCGGCATAACGAGCCCTGTCAGCAACACGACGAGCGCAAGCCCGAGTGTAGTCACCAAACGCCTCGAAGGTAAGATCCTTGCATTTATCGCAACGAGAGTCCCATTTACACTGTCCCATACAGTCAACACAATACCCATGTGGATCACTCAAGGAGAACACTTTATTACACCGGGAGCATTTTTTCCTCTTCTTTGGCTGGTCAACTTTCCCCATGTTGTAGACTAAGTTGAAAACGTTGAGCAAAGTAAAATACGTCCACACTCGTGTGCGACAAGAAAGAGAATGATGATTCCCATGGGCAGCTATAGTGCCACATGGGCAGCTAGTGGTGCATGCATGCATGCTTTGCATGAGAGAGGCCTAGGAAAAAAGAAGCTGTCTTATAGTGAGATAGGGGTAGCATGGAGTGCTTGGGCAGATGGACAAGAGAGGCCTAGGGCCAAAAAGTTTACATCGTTCCACTCAACAGTGTCGAATCAAGAGAGAGAAGTGCATACCGTGAGATAGGATAAGTTTAAAAATTGGCCGCTGGTTGTTCAGCTGCTTGATTACCACTGTCAGCTGTTTTTGAGTCATTGGCAGCTGCTTGATTACCACTGTCAGCTATTTTTGAGTCATTGGCAGCTGCTTGATTACCACTGTCAGCTGTTTTTGAATCATTGGCAGCTGGTTGATTACCACTGTCAGCTGTTTTTGAGTCATTGTCAGCTGGTTGATTACCACTGTCAGCTGTTTTTGAATCATTGGCAGCTGCTTGATTACCACTGTCAGCTGTTTTTGAATCATTGGCAGCTGGCTGTTTACCACTGTCAGCTGTTTTTGAATCATTGGCCGCTGGTTGTTTACCACTGTCAGCTGTTTTTGAATCATTGGCAGCTGGTTGATTACCACTGTCAGCTGTTTTTGAATCATTGGCAGCTGGTTGATTACCACTGTCAGCTGTTTTTGAGTCATTGTCAGCTTGTTGAATATCGTATTCTGCTGTTTTCTTGAGGTATTTCATATCTGCAGCTGCCATCACAGTATTCAACTGTGCCATATCAGGAGACAAGGTGGGTCCCTGGTGAGTAAACATAAAGAGATGGTCAAATAGTATTCCTGACTGTCTGTAATGATATTTTTTGGAGTGAGTGAGTTTAGTTTTACGCCGGTTTTAGCAATATTCCAGCAATATCACGGCAGGGAACACCAAAAATGGACATCATACATTGTGCCCATGTGGGGAATCAAACCCACGTCTTCGGCGTGACGAGTGAACGCCTTAACCACTAGGCTACCCCATCACCCTGATATTTTTAAGATGTCAATGTCACGATAACCTTCCATACAAGTGGTATATACAGAAAATATGATCAGAACTTCAAATGCCCTTTCCTGAGGTTAAAACACATCTGATGAACTAAGTTATGAACCTGGTGTTCGGAGGTGGTGAGGCCATCAATCTCCTCATATCTGCTGATACCCATCCCTGCTGATCTTGTAAGGGGGCTGGTGCTGGAGATGTCTGCGGAAGGACTGTTCCCATTCCCAATGTCTTCTGGCCTGGATGGCGGACCAATATGTAGGTCTGCCTCTTCCGGTCTGGTGCCTGGGCTGCTGCTCTCCCTGTGATGAGCTGTCCCAGTAAGAGCGCTGCTGCAGAGCTCTGCCTGTTCGGCTCTTGTAACAGGGCTGCTGATTGGCCTCTGATGTGGTGGTCCAGTGATGGAGCTGCCAGTTAGCCCAGCCTCTTCAGTTCTTGTAACAGGGCTGCTGATTGGTCTGTGATGTGTTGGTCCGGTGAGGGAGCTGCTGCTTAGTTCGGATCTGAACAATGGGCTGCTACTAAGACCAGCCCGTTCTGTTCTTGACAAAGGGCTGCTACTAAGTCCAGTATGTTCTGGTCTGAAGAAGGGGCTGCTGCTGCTGCTGAACCCATTATAAGAAGAACATAGTGGGGATCCTGATAATGCTCGTGTGCTGCCATGTCTTAAATCTACTGAAAAAGGAAAACAAATTTGATATCATACTTTCAAACCACAACTGAGACAAGAAAAATGCAAAAGCAAAGAAGGTGCAGCAGTATATTTTACAGTACTCAAGAGTGGGAAAATAGAAATCCTTTCCAAGATTTAAGTGATCAGTATACATCATACTAAAACTCACTCATCATGATTGCAAGACATCAGAGATGTCCTAGGGAACACATGTGCCAATAAACAAGTTGCTTACACTGAAGTATATGTCTGCTAAGCAGCTAAGATGTAGTTAAGCGTGTTTCTTTAATAACAACCTGGTCACTACCACAATCTCATCAATACATCACAAACTGATTCTCTATGCATCCTTCAGCAGTAATCATTTTTGTCTAAACATCAGCTAACACCAATGTATAGGAACCAGGTCAAACTAAGGTGTCTTACAAGTGTCTTACACAGTGAGTGAGTGAGTGAGTGAGTGAGTGGGTGGGTGAGTGAGTGAGTGAGTGAGTGAGTGAGTGAGTGAGTGAGTGAGTGAGTGAGTGAGTGAGTGAGTGAGTGAGTGAGTGAGTGAGTGAGTGAGTGAGTGAGTGAGTGAGTGTGTGAGTGAGTGAGTGCCAAAGGTGAGGCAGTTGTACCACTTTGGTGAAAACCCACAAACACGGATGGGTGTGATGCACTGACACACCGAGAATAGGGCAAACTAGGGGTTGAGTCAGACATCAAATGTTTCACAAGTGCACAAGGGACTCAAATCTGCTCAGCCAGTTGAATAGTTGGACATTTCAGATGACCACTTGTCACCCCATGTGCTAAAGTGAAGGAGTGAAGGGCTTTAAGTCAGCTAGTCTAAGTAAACTTAGGCTCAGTATTATTCGTTACACCGCTATACTGAGTCTAACAAACCCTAGCAGAACGTCGCGTCAGCTAGCCTTTGAGCGACCTATGACCGCCCAATCAAACAAATGACAGCCGAACGGATTTAACCAATCAGCAAATGACTACTTGTTAGGGTTACAAGACGGTTTTTGGATTTTCTGTTCCCTTGTCGCTGACACTGATCTATCAACAAACGCATAAAACACAGATATTTGACCTGCAGTATATACGCTTAGGGGTTTCTTATGACATGGTTATACTATTAGCTTATATTTCCGCAAGATGACATATTGACAAAAACGCTATTTTCAGCGACGTTTACTCATTGCTTCCTCCATTTGTATCATGTGATCATGCAGAAAATAGCATTTGGAATCGTTCGAGTTTTTTAGGTAAAGGTTCAAACGGTATGTGCGAATGTTAACTTTCGCGATTTTGTAAGCTGTGTTCTGATTGTTCAGTCCACTTGTTAGCTGACGCGACCTTCTACTGGGGTTTGTTAGACTCAGTATAGCAGTGTAACGAATATTGCTCAGCCTGAAGACTGTTAAGTCAGCAGTATGCCACCTTCAAAACGTAGGCTATTTCACTTCATAGAAGCCAGTGATCAGGCAGTGTGAGCATATGATCAGGCTGTGATCACACACTAACACAGCCATTCTACATGAGAGCTGTACATTTACCATCTGTAAACTCTCTTTCATCACTGCAGCTCTTTGGTCAAGGATAAACATTTCAGCAGAATCACAGATGGAAGTGAACAAAAATATGTACTAGAATCAGTACTTTACTCAGAAAGTGTAATCCCAAATATTACATTTGCGACATCTGACCACTTTCTAAAAGGCATTGTGTATTTATAGTCCATTTCTCCAATGGAATATCCATCAACATGAAACATGGAGTGCAAGTTCGCCTATAATGTTGTTAGTATGCAGAAGAAAGAATAACACCATACCTATGAAGTGTATTCTCTACATAACAAAAGAATATAGCCAGTAGCAGTTGCCCGCAGCGCAGTCAAGGCTCCCAAAGCTAGCATGCAGTGTACGGAAGAGGGTGAGATACATACTTGATTACCTGAGGATGGGGAAGTGCTGCCATTTCTGGCTTCCCCCAACAGGTTTGGGGGGGGGTCCTACTGTACTCAGAGTCAGTTAAACTTGCACTGGAGGCCGTCTAGGAAGCATACAAGTCATGTGTTAGCAAATTCACTGGGAGTCCAGAAACATTACACAAAAACAAAACAAATCTCAGGCAATGACTAAGAATTAATATGGGTGAAGTACTTGTCCTAACTTGCTTGTAAACAAAACCAATTTTTTTCAAAAATTAATTGAGTTTTAACTCAACAGGAGTTGAAGAACTAATAACAATTTCTATGATTGATTTTATGTCACTTAATACAAACATTGGAATTGGAAATTTTAGCAATCATTAAAAAGGAAAAAAATATATTCCAAACAGTTCACATTTGAACATTTTACAAAATTTAGCTTGGGCTTGTCCATAAACAAGAAAGTACAGGTAGATTGACATGGCTAATTCCCAAGAGTTCATGTTTTGTCTGAAAGAAGATAGAAAATGCTTCCTTAATGTTGATGTTGTTACAGATACAGAATGCAGGTACAAGATATAGTCTGGGCTTCAGACAGGTAAACTGGTATGTTAGTGAAAGTGATTATTACACAGAAGGATGCTTACTGTTTCCCTGAATATCCATGCATCGTCATCATCATAATTCTTGCCTGTGAACTCAATCTGTTCACTGTTCAGGATTACACAATTGTGGCAATGGGTTACAAACACAAGGAAACTGTTATAAGTAAAGGTAAACCCTGAACTGACTGCCACTTTAAACATGAATAACATTTGAAGTTTTGATGGTTTCTTAACTGAACCTGATGCATGTGTACAGATGTTATCTATTGGCATTCCATTCAGATCATGAACGACGCACAATGACAACCAGCCACAGAAGCAAACCAGGGGGAATAACTCCCACATGATGCCAAGGGTAATCACTCCCACATGCCTGCAGCCCTTCACCAGCAATATCCCCATATATTCCAGTATGTGAGCAGGTTTACCTACCTTTTTTGGGGTGAGCCTCTTCACCTTGTCCTTGTTGTCACGGGCCTTCTGGAGAGCCTGCAGCACTGCCACAGTGTCCAGCTCCTTCTGGTTGGGCTTCTGGTTGTCCAGCACCACCTGTGCATGGGTCGTCACATATAGCCATAAATGGTACTTATATCATGGCAGATTTACACAATTTGCTTAGGACTGCCTTGTAACACTGTCCTGTCCTGACTGTTTTGTATTACTGTCCTTTAAACTGTCAGGAAATACTGTCCTGTCCTAACTGTTTTGTATTACTGTCCTGTAAACTGTCAGGAAATACTGTCCTGTAATACTGTCCTGTCCTGACTGTTTTGTATTACTGTCCTGTCCTGTAATACTGTCCTGTCCTGACTGTTTTGTATTACTGTCCTGTAAACTGTCAGGAAATACTGTCCTGTAAACTGTCAGGAAATACTGTCCTGTCCTGACTGTTTTGTATTACTGTCCTGTAATACTGTCAGGAAATACTGTCCTGTAATACTGTCCTGTAATACTGTCCTGTCCTGACTGTTTTGTATTACTGTCCTGTAAACTGTCAGGAAATACTGTCCTGTAAACTGTCAGGAAATACTGTCCTGTAATACTGTCCTGTCCTGACTGTTTTGTATTACTGTCCTGTCCTGACTGTTTTGTATTACTGTCCTGTAAACTGTCAGGAAATACTGTCCTGTAAACTGTCAGGAAATACTGTCCTGTCCTGACTGTTTTGTATTACTGTCCTGTAATACTGTCCTGTAATACTGTCCTGTAATACTGTCCTGTCCTGACTGTTTTGTATTACTGTCCTGTAATACTGTCAGGAAATACTGTCCTGTAATACTGTCCTGTCCTGACTGTTTTGTATTACTGTCCTGTAATACTGTCCTGTCCTGACTGTTTTGTATTACTGTCCTGTAAACTGTCAGGAAATACTGTCCTGTAAACTGTCAGGAAATACTGTCCTGTCCTGACTGTTTTGTATTACTGTCCTGTAATACTGTCAGGAAATACTGTCCTGTAATACTGTTTTGTCCTGACTGTTTTATATTACTGTCTTGTAATACTGTCCTGTCAGGAAATAATGTCCTGTAAACTGTCAGGAAATACTGTCCTGACTGTTTTGTATTATTGTCCTGTAATACTGTCAGGAAATACTGTCCTGTCCTGACTGTTTGTATTACTGTCCTGTAAACTGTCAGGAAATACTGTCCTGTAAACTGTCAGGAAATACTGTCCTGTAATACTGTTTTGTCCTGACTGTTTTATATTACTGTCTTGTAATACTGTCCTGTCAGGAAATAATGTCCTGTAAACTGTCAGGAAATACTGTCCTGTCCTGACTGTTTTGTATTACTGTCCTGTAATACTGTCCTGTCCTGACTGTTTTGTATTACTGTCCTGTAATACTGTCAGGAAATACTGTCCTGTCCTGACTGTTTGTATTACTGTCCTGTAAACTGTCAGGAAATACTGTCCTGTAAACTGTCAGGAAATACTGTCCTGTAATACTGTCCTGTCCTGACTGTTTTGTATTACTGTCCTGTAATACTGTCAGGAAATACTGTCCTGTCCTGACTGTTTTGTATTACTGTCCTGTAATACTGTCAGGAAATACTGTCCTGTAAACTGTCAGGAAATACTGTCCTGTCCTGACTGTTTTGTATTACTGTCCTGTAATACTGTCCTGTAATACTGTCCTGTAAACTGTCAGGAAATACTGTCCTGTCCTGACTGTTTTGTATTACTGTCCTGTAATACTGTCAGGAAATACTGTCCTGTCCTGACTGTTTTGTATTACTGTCCTGTAAACTGTCAGGAAATACTGTCCTGTAAACTGTCAGGAAATACTGTTCTGTAATACTGTCCTGTCCTGACTGTTTTCTATTACTGTCCTGTAATACTGTCAGGAAATACTGTCCTGTAAACTGTCAGGAAATACTGTCCCGTAATACTGTCCTGTCCTGACTGTTTTGTATTACTGTCCTGTAATACTGTCCTGTCCTGACTGTTTTGTATTACTGTCCTGTAAACTGTCAGGAAATACTGTCCTGTAAACTGTCAGGAAATACTGTCCTGTAATACTGTCCTGTCCTGACTGTTTTGTATTACTGTCCTGTAATACTGTCCTGTCCTGACTGTTTTGTATTACTGTCCTGTAATACTGTCAGGAAATACTGTCCTGTAATACTGTCCTGTCCTGACTGTTTTATATTACTGTCCTGTAATACTGTCCTGTCCTGACTGTTTTGTATTACTGTCCTGTAATACTGTCAGGAAATACTGTCCTGTAATACTGTCCTGTCCTGACTGTTTTGTATTACTGTCCTGTAATACTGTCAGGAAATACTGTCCTGTAAACTGTCAGGAAATACTGTCCTGTCCTGACTGTTTTGTATTACTGTCCTGTAATACTGTCCTGTCCTGACTGTTTTGTATTACTGTCCTGTAAACTGTCAGGAAATACTGTCCTGTAAACTGTCAGGAAATACTGTCCTGTAATACTGTCCTGTCCTGACTGTTTTGTATTACTGTCCTGTAATACTGTCAGGAAATACTGTCCTGTCCTGACTGTTTTGTATTACTGTCCTGTAAACTGTCAGGAAATACTGTCCTGTAAACTGTCAGGAAATACTGTCCTGTCCTGACTGTTTTGTATTACTGTCCTGTAATACTGTCAGGAAATACTGTCCTGTCCTGACTGTTTTGTATTACTGTCCTGTAAACTGTCAGGAAATACTGTCCTGTCCTGACTGTTTTGTATTACTGTCCTGTAAACTGTCAGGAAATACTGTCCTGTAAACTGTCAGGAAATACTGTCCTGTAATACTGTCCTGTCCTGACTGTTTTGTATTACTGTCCTGTAATACTGTCCTGTCCTGACTGTTTTGTATTACTGTCCTGTAAACTGTCAGGAAATACTGTCCTGTAAACTGTCCTGTCCTGACTGTTTTGTATTACTGTCCTGTAAACTGTCAGGAAATACTGTCCTGTAATACTGTCCTGTCCTGACTGTTTTGTATTACTGTCCTGTAAACTGTCAGGAAATACTGTCCTGTAAACTGTCAGGAAATACTGTTCTGTAATACTGTCCTGTCCTGACTGTTTTCTATTACTGTCCTGTAATACTGTCAGGAAATACTGTCCTGTAAACTGTCAGGAAATACTGTCCCGTAATACTGTCCTGTCCTGACTGTTTTGTATTACTGTCCTGTAATACTGTCCTGTCCTGACTGTTTTGTATTACTGTCCTGTAAACTGTCAGGAAATACTGTCCTGTAAACTGTCAGGAAATACTGTCCTGTAATACTGTCCTGTCCTGACTGTTTTGTATTACTGTCCTGTAATACTGTCAGGAAATACTGTCCTGTAATACTGTCCTGTCCTGACTGTTTTATATTACTGTCCTGTAATACTGTCCTGACTGTTTTGTATTACTGTCCTGTAAACTGTCAGGAAATACTGTCCTGTAAACTGTCAGGAAATACTGTTCTGTCCTGACTGTTTTGTATTACTGTCCTGTAATACTGTCAGGAAATACTGTCCTGTCCTGACTGTTTTGTATTACTGTCCTGTAAACTGTCAGGAAATACTGTCCTGTCCTGACTGTTTTGTATTACTGTCCTGTAAACTGTCAGGAAATACTGTCCTGTAAACTGTCAGGAAATACTGTCCTGTAATACTGTCCTGTCCTGACTGTTTTGTATTACTGTCCTGTAATACTGTCCTGTCCTGACTGTTTTGTATTACTGTCCTGTAAACTGTCAGGAAATACTGTCCTGTAAACTGTCCTGTCCTGACTGTTTTGTATTACTGTCCTGTAAACTGTCAGGAAATCTGTCTGTCCTGTAATACTGTCCTGTCCTGACTGTTTTGTATTACTGTCCTGTAAACTGTCAGGAAATACTGTCCTGTAATACTGTCCTGTCCTGACTGTTTTGTATTACTGTCCTGTAATACTGTCCTGTCCTGACTGTTTTGTATTACTGTCCTGTAAACTGTCAGGAAATACTGTCCTGTAAACTGTCCTGTCCTGACTGTTTTGTATTACTGTCCTGTAAACTGTCAGGAAATACTGTCCTGTAATACTGTCCTGTCCTGACTGTTTTGTATTACTGTCCTGTAAACTGTCAGGAAATACTGTCCTGTAATACTGTCCTGTCCTGACTGTTTTGTATTACTGTCCTGTAAACTGTCAGGAAATACTGTCCTGTAATACGGTTCTGCAAATTGTAAAGTTAAACTCTCCTGCCCTGTCCTAACCTGAACTGTATACAGTACTCAGCCATTGGACCACTGAAAATTATTTACAGTTTATAACAGATTTTTGCGTAGATTGGGTTAATGTATTGAGCTCCTTGCTGCAACAGGTGGTCAACAAAAAAATAAATACAAAAGACCTTAAAGGTATTTGTGTGTTATCTTGTACCTACCTCGTTGACCCGGTCTCCGAATACCTCAAGGACCTTGGTTCGGTAGTCCAGCACAATGGTCACTGGGTTGCCGGTCAACAGCAGGTTTTCCAAGCATGGCAGGCCACCGATAGGCTTGACATCAGACACCTTGGGGCAACATCATAATGTCTCAGTCAAAATACTCACCAAACATGCAAGACAAACTACAAACTTAACATCAGTCATCAGACTTTAAGTGCAGTGACATACAACTATGTGCTAGTTGAGCTTTCACAAATGCCACACTGGTTCAACTGCCCTTCTAGATAATTGTGAATAAACGTTCAAACAAACAATAGTCTGTCAAATGCAAAGGAGTCAGTTACCCAACACACTTTTTTAACCAAGATTCATTATATTCCTGAGCATCCAACGTTTGCAGCCAGTGTAAAACTAGATAAGCATCCTTCCCAGCCATTGTGCTTCTTATGACTATGTAAATTGTTCATCCCCAGACCAGTAGAAGGGCTGCCCGGTATAGCCATAGAAGCAAGTCTTGATATGTCAGTGAAGCAAAGTCTTACTTGTCCAATTTCATTGTTGCTGACATCAAGAATTTCCAGGCTAAACAACTTTGAAAACCCTGTGAAAAAGGAAAACATATTCCAATAATTGTAAAATAATAGCTGAAACTTATTATATTATAATTAATGAAGTATACATCTGAATGACCTAGTCATGATGATAAACATTACAAACTGATAACACTATTTATTGCATTGCAGCCCCACTGAAACATTACGTGAATGAGTTTAAGTTCAATATAGGAGTAGTGCTCTAAACACAGGAATTATAATCACAGATGTAACTATCCAACACTTGCTTTATTAAACAAACAAGTTCATGTTAATCATTTCCATAACCATCGTTTAAGAGGGTCATTGGGTCCTAAATGTCTTCTCTTAATATATATATAGTCTTATTATTTGAATGTATGGGCTCCCAAAATCTTAACCTTATAACATTAGGGCTATGGGAAGGACCTCTTCCATGCCTAATATTGATCTGGTTGAATGACATTAGTTTCTGTACAGTCCTACAATGTCCTAGTATGCCCTACCCTGAAGGCTCCCCAGTTTGTTGCCTGCCAACTTGAGGGTCTTCAGGTTGCCCAGCTTAGTGTGCAGGGAGTCCAGGTTGTGGATGTTGTTGTGTGAGATGTCGAGGAAGGTGAGGTGGCTGAGCCACTGCAGGTGCTGGATGGTTGTCAGCTGGTTGTGACTGAGGTCCAGATGCTCCACCTTCGGCATGAGTTGCTGCAACATCATCATGTGGACTGACTGATTGATCGTATCTATATTGCTGCAACATCATCATGTGGACTGACTGCAACATCATCATGTGGACTGATTGATTGTATCTATATTGCTGCAACATCATCATGTGGACTGATTGATCATATCTATATTGCTGCAACATCATCATGTGGACTGATTGATCATATCTATATTACTGCAACATCATCATGTGGACTGATTGATTGTATCTATATTGCTGCAACATCATCATGTGGACTGATTGATTGTATCATGCAACATCATCATGTGGACTGATTGATTGTATCTATATTGCTGCAACATCATCATGTGGACTGATTGATTGTATCTATATTGCTGCAACATCATCATGTGGACTGATTGATTGTATCTATATTGCTGCAACATCATCATGTGGACTGATTGATCGTATCTATATTGCTGCAACATCATCATGTGGACTGATTGATCGATTATCTATATTGCTGCAACATCATCATGTGGACTGATTGATGCTGCAACATCATATCTATATTACTTCAACATCATCATGTGGACTGATTGATCGTATCTATATTGCTGCAACATCATCATGTGGACTGATTGATCATATCTATATTGCTGCAACATCATCATGTGGACTGATTGATCGTATCTATATTGCTGCAACATCATCATGTGGACTGATTGATTGTATCTATATTGCTGCAACATCATCATGTGGACTGATTGATTATGTATCTATATTGCTGCAACATCATCATGTGGACTGATTGATCATTATCTATATTGCTGCAACATCATCATGTGGACTGATTGATTGTATCTATATTGCTGCAACATCATCATGTGGACTGATTGATCGTATCTATATTGCTGCAACATCATCATGTGGACTGATTGATCGTATCTATATTGCTGCAACATCATCATGTGGACTGATTGATCGTATCCATATTGCTGCATTCAGCAATATTTCAGCTGTATGATAGTCTGCACACAGTCAAGTCTGGATCGAGACAATCACATGATTCACATCATGACAATCAATATTTTACCCACGACACTCACTGCAGTCTCTGTACAACCCAATTTCAAACCATCCAAGTGCAGATTTGTTAAAGGGAATTGCACCCTGTGAAAAATTCTAATCAGATGAATATTGAATTTGAAGCCCAATCATCAGATCCTGGACCAACTCCTACTCACCACACTGTCATCAATCTCAACTATAAAGTTGTGACTCATGTCGGCTTCCTCCACATGCTCCCAGTAAGACACCAGCAGTGTGCCATCCTCCCCGCGCCAGTGTGGAATGTCTTGAAGAAGGAACTCCTGCAATCAAGCACATTTCATACATGTATTTCAGAGGTGTACATCAGGATATACAAACATCTTGACACAACAAATACAAGAGTCATCAGAAGATGACATATCCTCCCGGCGCCAACATATTTGAAAGAACAAATCATCTGACAGTTACTTAAAGTCCAGCTTGATTTTAGACTAAGTGCAAATCGTTTCCATGGAAATCATGAAAAAAATAAATGACAAAAATCTGCAAATAGCAAAAGGCACCACTTCAAGATCTGCCTCACATATCTGCCAAGTTTTACTGAAAGATATTAAGAAGTTTTTGAGTTGTGCTCCGGAAACAAAACCCACCCCTTCCTTTTGAGACTAAGTCCGAATTGTTTCCATTGAAACCGGGAAAAAAAAAATGCCCAAAATCTGCAAATAGCAAAAGGCACCACTTAAGGTTCTGTTTGATATATCTACCAAGTTTTCTTGAAAAATATTGAACAGTTCTTGAGTTATGCTCTGGAAACGAAGCCCACCCCTCACTTTTGGGACAAAGTCCAAATCGTTTCCAAGGAAACCGGGGAAAAATAAAAATGCCAAAAATCTGCAAATAGCAAAAGGCACAACTTTAGGATCTGTTTGATATATCTACCAAGTCTTGTTGAAAACTATCGAGCGTTTTTTGAGTTATGCTCCGGAAACGAAGCCCACCCCTCTTTAAGACTAAGTCCAAAACGTTTCCATGGAAACCGAGAAAAATAAAAATGACAATAATCTGTAAACAGCAAAAGGCACCACCTTAGGTTATGTTTGACATATCTACCAATTTTTGTTGAAAAATATTGAACGGTCTTTGAGTTATGCTCCGGAAACAAAATGATTACGGACAGACGGACGGACGGACGGATGGACGGACGAGGCGACAACTATGCCGCCGGGATAATAAGAAACAGAAATTAATTCAACCCCTAAATATCTGGCTTGGAATTAGTATGGAATAGTATCAAACAATTCAAATCATCTGTACCAACAATACAAGTTCGAAGGGCACAGGAAAACACTGCACCCTGAACAATTTTGGAGTCCATGGTTTCAAGGTCATTACTTGTGGTCTCGGAGAAACGTACGAACCTGCCGCCCCTGATGATAATGTGCCCAATATTTCATTATATTTCATTCGACATTTGAAAGGCATATCATTGGCGGATCCAGAGAGGGGTTCAGAGGGTTCAAACCCCTCCCCCTCTTTGAAAATGATTTAAGACCACATTGAAGATTTTCTTTTGCGTTGGCAGAGCCAATTTTGAACACCCACCCCTTCAAAATTCCTGGATCCGTCCATGCATATCATGCATATAGACCGAATATGCCATCTGCTGGTGGGATTCAGCATGAAACCAAATAACACAAATGCTTATCTTTGAATGTCGCTCACAAATGACCTTACACCCATCACATCATTGTTATGAATTTATTCATACATATTTATTCAAACAATACACCACACAGGAATCAGGCTTTGAAAACAGCCATTTTTTACGTCTCTCACAACATTTATCAGATGAGTATGGGCTACTGGGAACATATTCAAGTCTGGAATCTCCAAGGGACTCCAAGTCAGTATCACTCCTGCATCCCTTCACAGTCATCTTCTTCAGCAAGCAGGAGGTCATGGCGATCCAGACTGCACAACTAAACATGCCATTGTGAAAAGTTACTCACTCGAACTGTTTTAGTTGATCTGCATAGCTGGAATTCCTTGAGCGTCTGTTTTATTGTTTCTAAACCAACAATATTCTTTGGACTGCAATTCAATATCTGAAAACACAAACATCCTTAATCAGTAGATGTAAAAAAAATCAAAGGACGTGGCATTGATACAAAGTCAAGAGCCATACAAATAGTAATAAGACCCGCTTCAAGTGAGAAGGTAGCTGTATCAAATCTGAAATAGTTCGAATCAAGTATTCTTGTCATGTGTGTAATTGTAAAAGACTCACCTCTAAATACTTCAAAGACTTGAACAATGTGAGATCAAATGTAAGTTGGTTCATATCAATATTGCTTGAACCAACTGGCTCCTTGCTGCCACAGATCTGAAAGGGAGGTAACTCTGATGTGAATACACCTGAGAACCTTTGTTGGAATCCATCAACATTTTGACACATTCAATCAAACTTATCAAGGAAATGCGCAATAATAAGGAATTTTCATTTTGGAAGACTATAAGATATACTCCTCTGGATACAACTAGAGATAAACAGAGAACACATTGTGACATGTGCCTTGCTGAAACCGAGTCACTGTGTAATCAGGGACGTCAAGACTGACATACATCATCATCCAGCAGGTATCAAGCTGGTTGTCAGGTGAATAAGTGAGTTTAGTTTTACGCTGCTTTTATTAATATTCCAGCAATATCACGGTGGGGAGACACCAGAAATGGGCTTCACACATTGTACCCATATGGGGAATCAAATCCTGGTTGTAATGGACTGCCATGAAACTTGTTGGGACTAGCAACTGTGCAGAGACTGATTATCCATGTGAGCTGGTACATTGTGTGGTTGAAGGGATACATGCCACAAACTGCTTACTTTAAGCCTCTTCATTCTTGTGATGAAATCCAGGATGTGGCCAATGTCCTTCTTCACATCACCACTTTCTGAAAATACACAGTTGACTCTGTTAGTGGACGGAACTACCGCAGGCAGCCACAGTTTCCTACACAGTCAGCAGAGTTCACAACCATATGGCCGCCACACAATACACAACATGAAGCTTGTTAATGTTTGGGAGAGAAGAAGCTTTTTGTTAGTTTGAGATGCAGCAGTGCTTATTTTTATTTTCAAAATGTCTTGTTACCTCAGTGAATTGGGTTTATGGTTGTTTTCCTTTCAGTATTCTAGTCTGGAATCAACATGGATCTTATGTCAGGGTAAGTCAAGCCCAAGAGTTACCCAGGTCCTAAGCAACAATCAGTTTTCAGAAGCCATGGTTTAGAGTATTGAGCTCTTTAACTGAAGAACCATAACCTCGGATCCTGACATCAGTAAGGGATGCAACTTACAACAAATTGCTGTCATATGCCCCAGGGACCCTGCCATAGCCAACAGAGGATGACATTTAGAACTGTCCATGCAATCATATAACATGAGTATGTATGTGACAACAATACTGACAAACATGTTGACATAATGTTCCACCTTGGTAATATTCAAGAGCTTTTCAAACAAGTTAAACAGTCTATTTTCTAAATTGCTCAAGATAACAGATATATATGGAACAAAATAAGACAGCTGTACAATACATCACAAAGAAGTAAGAAGAATGAAGCATGGAATATAACCCAATGCAACATGTTCTATCACAAAGTTTCTGCAGCTTTAAATATATGCTTGCACTTGAAGACATCATAAATTAGACTATCCTAGTTTTAGTGGCTAGTTAGTATGTATGAATGTAACATATATACTCACTTTGTGAAAACGTAACAAAAATTTCAAACATACATCCCCATTCATAAAATGGACTTGTCCAACATTGCTGAGGTCTAAGTGTATTCAGGTAGTCATCATTATTTACATACTGGTACACATTTTTACACACTTTTTATCATATTAGGATTTTTTGAGATGCTGTAAATAATGTTAATATCTCAGGAGAATATACAAATTGTATTTTGATTCTTCTGTAACACCTGGTTTGGTTGATTTGTTTGTTGTTTAACGCCACACTGAGCAATATTCCAGATATATGGCAGCGGGCTGCAAATAATCAAGTTTGGGCCTGACAATCCAGTGATCAACTGCATGAGCATCAATCTATGTAATTGGGATACAATGACATGTGTCAACCAAGTCAGCGAGCCTGATCACCTGATCCCGTTAGTCGTCTCTTACGCCAAGCATGGGTTACTGAAGATCAATACTAAAAAGAATCTTCACGGGTCTGCAACTCCTGATATATTGTCACAATCAAAAGATAAGAAGAAACAGTCTGACCCAATTTCTCTTTCAGGATGGGGAGTAACTATATAGAACAGTTAACATTGACCATGCCAACATATTTGTTGGCAGTGAATACTTCAGAAACTGTGACCTGTGTCCAGTATGATGTGGGCAGATATTGCGCCAGGAAGCGAGAAGAATGTGAGTAGGTTACATACTGTGTTGAGGGACATTAAGTAACTATTGAAACGCATCATAACTCTTTAACATGGTTAAAGTACCACATGTTGGTTCAGGCAGCTTCAGCCTCTCGGTCAGTGCGTGGAGCTGCAGGGGGGACATCTGGAACATCTCGTGGGATTGCAGGATTGACTCCCCTGAAAAGTTACGATGGCAACTGAATTAGTTTCTTTCTTCTTTATTGCCATATTTCAGCAATACGATGGCAGTCTCTAAATAATTTATTTTGGACAAGATTGTCCAATGAATGATATCATGTACAGCATTCTACCTAACTGGCACTAGCATGCATACAGTGTACAAAATAGCCACTGGCCCACTAGCCCATGGCTAGTAAAAATCCAATCAGGCCAGTAAATTTACAGTCACTGGCACCACTGGATAGTGAGTTTTCATGGGATCATTTTGTAAATATATCACTCTTAAGTTATAAAACACTTCTAAATATTACAAGATCATGGCCTGATAAAAATGTTCATCATATTAGCAGCTTAATGATGAAACCCGTATCATGCCGGCAATATGTTATTCTCATCTATTTTTGTGATCTTTTGGTTAGTGAATGATCCTGTGGGCTAGTAACTTTCAGGCATAGCTAGCACTACTACCCGACTGGCTAGCAAAATGTGGAAACTATTTCACACACTGCATGCATCTACCAAGTCACTCTCCTACACAGAGTTCTATACAGACAGCATGGTACCTCTCCTACACAGAGTTCTATACAGACAGCATGGTACCTCTCCTACACAGAGTTCTATACAGACAGCATGGTACCTCTCCCACACAGAGTTCTATACAGACAGCATGGTCCCTCTCCTACACAGAGTTCTATACAGACAGCATGGTACCTCTCCTACACAGAGTTCTATACAGACAGCATGGTACCTCTCCCACACAGAGTTCTATACAGACAGCATGGTACCTCTCCCACACAGAGTTCTATACAGACAGCATGGTACCTCTCCCACACAGAGTTCTATACAGACAGCATGGTACCTCTCCCACACAGAGTTCTATACAGACAGCACCTCTCCCACACAGAGTTCTATACAGACAGCATGAGTACAGCATGGTACCTCTCAGGAGTTGTACACAGAGTTCTATACAGACAGCTATACAGTTCTCCATACAGCATGGTACCTCTCCCACACAGAGTTCCCTCACACAGAGTTCTATACAGACAGCATGGTACCTCTCCCACACAGAGTTCTATACAGACAGCATGGTAGCATGGTACCCTCTCCTACACAGAGTTCTATACAGACACACAGAGTTCTATACAGACAGCATGGTACCTCTCTCCACACAGAGTTCTATACAGACAGCATGGTCTCCCACACTCTACAGACAGCATGGTACCCTCTCCTACACAGAGTTCTATACAGACAGCATGGTACCTCTCCTACACAGAGTTCTATACAGACAGCATGGTACCTCTCCTACACAGAGTTCTATACACAGAGTTCTATACAGACAGCACCTGTTTCACACAGGACTATGCAATACTATTGTATCTCCTACACAGAGTTCTATACAGACAGCATGGTTTAACAGTTCCACATTGTATTTGTTTTTTTAACAGTTCCACTTTACACATATAATTAAACATCTGAGATATAATGGTTTACATTCACTTAAAAAATATGCTAAAATGTGTAATACTATTCCAATTTGTGTAGATATCCTTTGTTTACATTGACTGTACGACTCCATGTGATGTCACTAAATACCTAAAGAGAAATGAGCAAATAACAGAATTAATTCAAGAACCCTCAGATTGTAATGTTATGAGTTATTATCTGAAAATAGAGTCAAATGATAATTGATAATCTGGTACGTCTTGGAGACTGTGTCAGTTCGAATGTGAACATCATGTGTACTCTGGAAAAAGCTCTCTGTTCTTGAGTCAAGACAAGTTGCTTACCTCTGTTGTAGAGCTCTTCTGCAAGTGCCTGGGTGATGCCATGAATCTCCTTTAAGTATACAAAATGTAACTCTGGTTAAAGATACCCATACAATTGTTTAAGAATTGAAAGAAGGTGAAGCGGAAACGAAACCCACCCCTCCCTTTTGGGACTAAGTCTGAATCGTTTCCATGGAAACCGGGAAAAATATAAATGCCAAAAATCGGCAAACAGCAAAAGGCACCACTTAAGGATCTGTTTGATATATCTACCAAGTTTTGTTGAAAAATATTGAACAGTTTTTGAGTTATGCTCTGGAAACAAAATGATTACGGACGGACAGACGGACAAGGCGTCGACTATATCACCCCGCATTACATGCCGGTGGGATAATAAGTTTGGATTATTAGGGATTCTTTATTCATTTTCATTCAACTTATAGTATGTAAAGTAAGCAGTCTTGTCAATTAATTATAATGGGAAAGATCAGTTGTGAATGAATTCTGTGAAGATTTTAACTTAAACAACAGAGATAATTTCAAAACTTCACATATTTTCCCCAGCATACTGTTTTCCAGAAAAAATATTACAGCATCAATCGTTAGAAAAGTATATTGTGGTATAGCTAGTCCTAGTGACTTAATATTTGTTGAAGAGTAAGAAGACAGTGAGGTGGGGGCATGGTGACTTACATATTCGCTGAAGAGTAAGCAGACAGCAAGGATGACTTACATTTGGTGACTTACATATTTGTTGAAGTGTAGGAAGAAGGCGACGAAGGGGGCATGGTGACTTACATATTTGTTGAAGTGTAGGAAGAAGGAGAGGATGGGGGTGGTGACTTACATATATTAAGTTATGGGAAGTTTAAGTGTAGGAAGGTAGGAAGGATGGGGGCATGGTGACTTACATATTTGTTGAAGTGTAGGAAGAAGACGAGGTAGGGGGCATGGTGACTTTCTTATTTGTTGAAGTGTAGGAAGAAGGCGACGAAGGGGGCATGGTGACATACATAGTTGTTGAAGTGTAGGAAGAAGGTGACGTAGGGCTGGGACGATACACTATGTGACGATACGATACGTATCGCGATATTTTACCCGCAATACGATACATATCACGATACATACACCTTGAAAGAATGACACAGTATTAAGATTTAAAATGATTTATTTCAAGGTATTTGTGTATAACAATAACACTGTAGTAATAAACAAACAAGTAACTCTATCAAACTTCCGTATTTTTCTCTACATAAGTACTTAAACATGTTTAATATAATACTGTTTTAAAAAACAAAGTTGTGTATTGTTTTGTATCGATACACCAGTGGACGATACGATAGCTGTATCAAACTAGAATGTATCGTGATGTATCGGTGCATCGTCCCAGTCCTAGTAGGGGGCATGGTGACTTACATCATATTTGTTGAAGAGTAGGAAGAAGGCGACGTAGGGGGCATAGTGACTTACATATTTGTTGAAGAGTAGGAAGAAGGCTAACGTAGGGGCATAGTGACTTACATATTTTGTTGAAGAAGAAGGAAGAAGGCATAGTGGGGGCATAGTGACGTAAAGGGGATTATTGACTTACATATTTGTTGAAGTGTAGGAAGAAGGCGTGAGGGGGATGGGGACTTACATATTTGTTGAAGTGTGCCAGGTAGTAGAGCACAGTCTGGAGGTACACCTCCAGCTCCCCCTGACGTTTCTTGATGAATGTCTCACTCTGGTTACCAAACAGCTTCTTGGGAGGCAGGAGGTTCTTGTCTAGCTTACATGTTGACACCAGCTGTAAGCCAGGAGAACAGCAACACATATATAGATACTTACTGTGAAAAAGATAAGGTTTTTCCTGACATCACAACACCCTAACATCACATATTAAATACACTACATCATATCAATCACCCAGCAGGCTATGAATCCACTATTACCATCATTATCGTACATGTATATATTGCACTTATGCAGTTTGTTCGTTGTTGAACACCACACTCAGCAATATTCCAGCTATATGGCAGCAGTCTGTAAATAGTCCAGTCTGGACCAGACAATCTTTCAATCAACATCATGAGCATTGATCTATGCAGTATCATATTCAGTTGGTAAATGATGTCAACCAAGCAAGCGAGATTGACCACCCAATCCCATTAGTACTTCTAACGACAAGCACGGGTTACTGAAGATTCTAACCCACATGTTTATGGGTTGCACTTATCCAGACAACTATGTTAACATGCAGTTTATATTTGTTGACCAATCAATGGATACACATGCACTCCAGTTATCATGCTCACCCCACCTCAAATATTTGCTCTCCATTCCCTGCTGGGTGAACAGAGGCACATTTGAACATGTCCTTAGTTCAGGGCAACAGCACACACATTATGACACTTGTGTTTCAGGTACATCTATGTATTTGGAGGGATGGCAACAGGAAAATCTCTTTTAAGCTGAAAACTTAATATTGTGCCATCGGGGAGTTCAGGGGGATTAAATTTATTCAGACGATTCACAGAATTGATATATTAGATATAAAATCGGCTGAAATCTGCAGATCAGCAGAAAATTGCCATCACTGTATTTGTATTCACACCTTCTGGTCAATAACTTGTGGATGAGTGGGTTTTGTGAGTACACAAGGTGAATGCACTGTACGGTAGGGGAAGTGAGTACACTGTACACATTGTTAATCCATGGGTTGAATAACAACCGGTGCCTAACACCGCTCACTGACTCCACCCAGTACACCAGTCAATGTCATTGAACTTCTGTGATACAACCAAATAATAGATACTCCCAGCTTGTGAGCGCTACAAACAACTGGTACAACTAGATCATCAGTGACATGAAGTGCAGGTGATTACCCATATCAAATATCACCTAATGTACACAACACACACTGCAATGTTCTAACACAACAATAGCCCTTTACATATAGGTGCAGATGTCCTATCTTCTTGAGTACATGGGTACTGAAACAATCAGGGTTGAATCCTCTTGTAAAATGCAAGGGAAGAAACCAGCCCCAGCCTGCCCCTCTCTGTATGTGGTATGTTTGTTTGATTAGGATTTGTTTTACACCATCCTCAACAATATTCCAGCAATATGAAGGCAGTCTGTAAATAACTGAATCTGGACCAGACAATCCAGTGATCAACAGCATACAATGTCAACCAAGTCAGCGAGCCAGACCACCCCTTCCCATTAGTGTAAGTGGTATGTCTACCCGTTGTCACTGTCCATCAAATACAAGCAGTGGTGGATACACCCACAACCGTGTTACCTTGTCATGGAGTTCATGGAAGTCACTGTATCGATGCTTCACAGTCCAGCTGTAAGGGCCGACAGTCACCTCAATCAGGTACACCTGGTGCAATGTAAAAGTAGAAGATGGACTATGTTCACTGCCAAGAATAATGTGAGGAAAGTATTTTGTACATTTATTTAATAAACATATACACAATCATGACATAAATATACCTCTGTGTAACATAACATATTCATTAGAACCACATCTAATGATACAACTTCTCACACAAGTCTAGCTGTGAAAAGCTGTAAAATTGCTGAGGCAGCATTAATATGGATTAATATCAGAGTGGGTGTATTTCATGCTGCACAACAGTCTAACCTTAAACAAAAACAATCTGTCAGAACAAGAAAACTGCAGCATGGTTCACAATTAACCTGCCCTGGATGAGGCAGATAATTATTCTGAATTCCTCATCTGCTTGTGAAATCATCAAATGAAACTAAAGGTTAACTTTCATCAATCAGCATAATCAGCAAATCTATAGTCTTTTGTATAACACAAGTGACATTAGAAACATTTATAGCTTTATTGTTCTCAGATTTGTCTATGATCATTTTGACATGTGAAATCTTAATGACAACTGACAAGGTAATATAATCTCAGCTTGCAATATAAGCACAATAGCCATACTGTCAACTACCGTGTTGTTATCAGGCATCTGATATGTGACAGAACACAGATATCAAATGCTGGTATATTTTTATGGAGTGTTTTGTAAGCATTGATAATTTCCATCCCCTATCACGTCCTGTATGTACTTGACTCCCAGCTACCTGGCCCTGAATGATCATGATGATACGTGAGACAGACATATTGTGCGTGAGTTGTAGCAATCACACTACCATGTTGACATCACCATGGTGATCACCAGACCTTAAACTCTGCTACAAACATGTGAATAATACACAATATTTTCCCCAAAAATACAGTTGTGTAGAGGGAGGTAAGGTGTATGCACACACACAGGAGTTTTGACACATTTGCCCCAATGTAAAGATATTACAGTGGGCGTACAGTGCTCAAATTAGAGAACTTGATTTAACTTGCAAGAAGTCCATGTCGACATGTAAAACTAGCTGCACCTGAAGAAAACAGGCAGCAAACTGGTTCCATAAATTTATCAAGTTAAAACCAGGGGTGGAAATAACCCATTGCCCGACGTCCGAGTCCAGTGTTTTTTTCTGACGGGCAAGCAAGTTTGTATATCACACTGTACCGGTGTCCAGTTGACTTTACAATGTTAATTATGTTGTTTATTTAAACAATCAGCAAGAAAACGGTCGGTATACTAGAAAAAATATCAGGGCAAGTGACTTTACATGTGCCACTATACCGGAGTACACTATCAATTTTAAAGTTATTTCCACCCTGTAAAACATGTGAACATCTAAAAGTGCTCCAGACTGAGGATGTGAAGCCCCCAAAACATGATACATACACATAATACAAGGTGAGGTGAGGTGAGGTGAGGTGAGGTGAGGTGAGGTGAAATTGGGTTTAACGTCGTGCTTGAGAATATTTCGCTCATATGACGACGTGCGTGCGTGTGTATGTGTGGCTGCTTGTACTAGCCCAGACTTAAGCTGGTTTTATAGTGCTAGCCCACTGAGATACCATGGCGCAGTGAAGCATGAATACCCCACTCAGACACATTATACTGACTCCGAGCCGACCAGTCCTTGTTGTAATCCCATTAATGCCGAGAGCCAGACAGGGACCAACAAGAACCATATTTTAACGTCTTTTGGTATGACACGGTCAGGGATCGAACCCTGCGACCTTCTGCTCTCCGGGCGGACGCTCTAACCACTACACCACGGAGGCGGTCACATAATACAAGGACTATTCATGTAGTATGGTAAATATAGCTTAGACTTAGAGGCATTGAGAGTGGGTATGTTCATATGTGGATGTTGTGTGGTCAGACACAGGGAAATTGTAATCTCAATATAACATGTTAAATTTGACCAATCTTAAAAGGCATTGTGTATTAAACACAGTAGATACTGTGTTAGCTGTAATGTAATATGGATCATTGAACATGTGAATTTATGATCACTTCCTTGATTGGAAACTGAAACTAACCATTCATTGACATATTTAATTTACTGGAAAGACCAGAGAAATTTGAAAGGAGTTCATGTTAAACATAAACTGGAATCAAGGTGAAGTGAAGTGATGTGAATTTGGGTTTAACGTCGTGCTTGAGAATATTTCGCTCATATGACGATGTGCATGCGTGTGTGTGTCTATGTGCGGCTGCTTGTACTAGCCCAGACTTAAGCTGGTTTTATAGTGCTAACCCACTGAGATACCATGGTGCAGTAAAGCATGAATACCCCACTCAGACACATTATACTGACTCCGAGCCGACCAGTCCTTCTTGTACCCATAAATGCCGAGCGCCAGGCAGGGATCAAACTCGCGACCTTCCGCTCTCCGTGCGGACGCTCTAACCACTACACCACGTAATTAAGGTGAGGTGAGGGGAAATGAGCTATCATTTCACACCAAAGGGTTTTACATGACGCGTGATTCCTGCGTATTTGATGCAACAATTTTGCAAACGACTCTCAAAATATTATCATACGAGTCAAGCTTCACACAACTTTTATGGGTGGCCCTCACAATTCAGTTCAATAAAATCCATTTGATTAGCAAAAATTATATGGTTCGATGATAATTTGACTTTTACAGAGCTGTCAGATTGTTCCAGAGAACTCAGAGGAGACAGTAATCCTGGCTGTTTGAATTGAACAATGCTGCAGTTTCATTTGGTGGTGTGACATAGACAGTTACATACTGAGAATGATTAACACAAAGAAATATTAAAATTTTCATGACTCCCAAATATTGAAAATGACTCCCAAAAATAAGTATTGTGAGTCACCATGACTCACATTTTTAGAAGTCTGTGTAAAACCCTGACATCAATAATTATAGTACCTATACCATGTGTCACTATAATATAATCCACACTGACACAGTATACTAACTCTGAGCTGTCCTTGTTCTATCCAGATATTCTTTAACATCTTTTGGTTGGTCAGGGCTGGGCTATGAACTTCCAGCCTTGCACCATCCAGGCAGTTCTCCACTACACCATGGAAGCAATCCAACCAGAGTAAAGATACAACTGGCTAGCTAAAGTCAAGCAGACAGAACTGTCCCTGTGTTGCAGTGCAGTGTCATATCTTTGTTGGTCAGGGCTGGGGTATGAACTTCCAGCCTTGCGCCATCCAGGCAGTTCTCCACTACACCATGGAACCACATCCCATTTAATCACATCAGTCTCAAACTTTGATTATGTCAGAACCGGGGGAGCTGATATGTTTATACTACTCAACTCTTCATGATATTCTGGGTGTGAGGGGTAGAACCAAACTGAATGTTTGGAAATTTTATCATACAATAAGTGTCTGACATTAAGGCGTAGCTGAGTCACGTTCAGCTTCATTTCATTTTAATAAAACAAAAGAACATTTAATAACAATTTTTCAAGGTTATTGTGATAGAATAAATTTCAATGATTGAATAGTATAATTATCAGTGATTACAGATACAGTGGCATAAGTCATGTTAGGGTTGAGGTCTGATGTGCCACACCAAGTGATATTTGCTGGAGTGACTCACAGTAAACTAATTACTGTTGTTCCACATTGTTATTGTCACAGCTGCAAAAGTTGTAAGGCAGCATCTATTTTTAGTTGTGTAAACCCTTTGTTTGATAACCTGATACATACAAAATGTGACGTCAGTGGATATGTTTATCAATTCTTCAGAAAGACTATAGGTAGCCTAGTGGTTAAAGTATTTGCTTGTCACACCAAAGGCCCTGTTTCAATTCCTCACATGGGTAAAATGTGTGTAGCCTGTTGGAAATGGTTAAGGATAACACCCACTTGCTGGAAAATCGCTAACACCATTGTAAAATCAAACTCACACGAAAGAAATTGTGTTCCAGGACCTAAAACACTGGTCAATGAAATTGTCCTTTTCAATTAGTCAATCCATTTCAAAATTTAAAGAATGTTTACTCTTTCAGAATTGAGTGTGTTGTTTGTTCAAACCCACATCCTAAGCAAAGTGGCCAATATAGCATAATAAGTAGTTTCCATGGATACAATATCAACTGATCCCAATTGATTTGTGACAGCATCTGATTAGGGGAAAGGGCTGAATAACGAGGAGTGTAGTGGCATACTTTTCCAGAATAGCATGGATGTATTAGCCATAGAGGTTAGTTGTAGAGGAACCTCAGTATCTCCAGTAGGCTACATTAAAATATTACATTATTACATGAGTCTTTTCTTGTTGACCCTTTAATGACATATTTATGTACTGAAAACTTAAAGTATATGTTTCTAAGTGCCAGTCACAGAGATCGAAGAAGTGGTAAATATGGCACAGTTGTGGGGACTTCTCCATACAGGCTTCAAAATTAGTATGGCAGATTTGAGTTGTTTGTGGATAGTGGACTATTAACAAAACAAAATAGAGCTTTTGAAGGACACTGCTATTGAACTGATTAGTGTTTGGAATCTGTATCTCTTTCATAAAAGATAGACTCTTGTTATCATCATTTATGATGGTCATAATCATGACTAGACGAGTTACTAATCCTAAGCCCAAGTCCTGTAACATTTTGTTCAGTCTAGTATGCCCAGAAAATATTTTTCCATATAGGATAGATGAAAAATATGCTCTGAGCTAAGTTCAGCTAAGTCCTGGCTAGGTTTTTAAAATGATAAAGACAGAAAAATATGATTTACAGATTATATTGACAATATCTAGTAACACAAATACTAGCTGACTCACAGACTTTGATGTCATAATGCTTAGGTACGTCTTGACATCTTCATGCCTCATAAGACTGGGGTGTACCATAGAAGTGAAATTTGGCATGGCTCCCTTCAATTTCACAAGGGAGGCCATTTGAATATTTTTATATTATGATACTTTCCAGAAACAATCTATGACACAATCACTCTAGGCATCAGTTCTGTGATAATGGATCAATGAAACATCTGATGCTTGAACTGATATTGTTTGTGTCTGTGCATGGGCTTTACAACCTATGCAAAGTAGAGGCATGCTGTTGAGTATTACCCATGAGTTTATTTCTTTACATATTTCCTGTACTGGTCACAAACTGATATCCCCTCCTTGCACTAAGTGTTACATTACACCACTTCCTATATTAATTGTGTTATTGTGACCCGCGGATGACGAACATGTAACTACGTCTAAATTCACTGTCACATGATAAAAAATAACACACAGAGGACAAAGTCACAACAAATTTGGAAATTCAAATCCGCCAACCCATATTAATGGTAGTGAACAGTTTAAGAGGGAACTTCCTATGTAAAGATTGCACCAAAACAAAGGTAAAAATACACAAGCATCGACTTCTAGCACATGACGTCCGCCAACTTACCGTGTAGTTTTCTAACGATTCAGAACTCAGGATGCGCACAGTTCTTGAAGCGCTGAAGGAGTCGAGATCTTTACCGAAGTGGGCCATTGTCAATTATGCTTCATCACCCTCTTTATCATGTTTACAAAATCATATCTCTTCTCATGATTACTTAACACAGTTAGACGCCATGTTATTTCTTCAAACACACGCCCTCTCTTGACAGGATGGAGATATTTAGAGTGACGTCCCTTGGAAGCTGTTGTAAAATCTGTGCTAGTATATAGATTTTTCTAGCGGCGTTGAACAAGAAAATAGTACCAGAATCAAGCAACATACACTATGTAAACGTATGGAATTTGTAATTAAGAGTCCGCCATAATAGTGAAGTCTTACTGAATCGGTGGAAAGTGAGAGGGGAGGAATTCTTGTTTGCGGCTGTTATTAGTAAACTGGCAATCCTTGCAAGTTTTTCATTCCCATCTTCACATTACTAACGTCGCAAGTGTTAGGGTAACGGTCGGCTCGTTCGTCCCCCGTCTTGCAATAGTGCAGGACGAAATTGAGTCCTCATTGTGTCAATAAAGTGACGAGAAGAAGAGGTATTTTCCTCAACAGAAGCTTGATGTGCCCCAAACAGGGCCCCGAGAGGACCTGTGATGCGCCTGAATCAGGACCTCTACAAGATATGTGATGTGCCCCAAACAGGATCTCGAGAGGACCTGTAGTGTGCTTCATGCATTACAGTCCAAAGTTTTGTAAACAGGATAACACGTCATGGGATAAGTAATCATCTCAACAGGATAGGAATCTACAATGATCGCTCTCGACCAGGCAGACTAAAGGTGAACTAGCTACGGCTTGCTTGAACCACATTTATACCGTATGGTCCCGGGGTGCTACCAGTTTGTCAATACAGATAAACGCCAATACCATAGCAAAGTAAGCGTTCACAATATCAGATCTCGAAGGCCAATGTGGTGAATTACCCTGCCTGGGATAAGCAGGAACCAGATTCAGATGCTGTAAAGGCCTCTCCAGTGACAGGCCCAGCATCACTGATTGTCGTGCCCATGTTTACTGCCGGGATGGCCAACGTCGCCATGACCCTAATGTTTATACAGGTCATGGTTTGGGGAATAGTTGGAAGACAGTTCGGCTATGACCTTCACATTGTCAGTGGCAAGTTGAAAGCGGCTCTGTACCGAGGTCCAAATTCAAGTCATTTGGAGGCATGGGAATTAATACATATACCAAAATGTACAACTCTTTGGTTTGGTCAACCGGTGAATATAGATCCGTTATATGGTGAAGTAAGTCGCTAACTGCAATAAGAACGTACTATACAAAATAGGACCATGAATGTTTTTCTCGGTGCAGAAAACTGCATGTGTGAAGACCTGGGGAAGTGTGATGAGAGTATATACCAGAACCAGCAGCTCAAGCAATTTGGTTGTGCTATGTTCCAGTTTCACGATCCCCATTTTGTTTGACCTTTTATCTTGGTACCCTCAAAAAACGCAAAATCTACAATAAATGCATCAAAAACTTCAGGAAACAAAATATGCAAGAAATATTTTGTGTGTTTGAGATTGATAAAAGTCCCCTAGAATCACACTTAGATATTAAAGTTCATAAAAAAGCAATCTGAAATTACAATCGCTTGTTAAAGTGACTCCCCACTTCATGTTGACGGAAAGCTTGTTTTGAAGACACTACCCATCCCCTTTTCAGATGACGTAATCATATGGGCATAGCTTATTCTAATGTTTTCATTTATGCATACATGATTGTTAGCTCATAATATATTGTAAACAGTGCCAGCTTGAATATCTGGACACAATGTTTTTGAAAGATTAAAATGGGGCTGTCCTTAAAAAAATAGCTCCCGACTAAATATAAATCAGGAAATCCAAATCTTTGACTGTTGATCATGACGGGAAGTCATCCAACTACACTGAACATATTTTATATGACATTATCTGAGGGCATACCATAATCCTAGAGGTACCCGAAGACAAATCGTTTTTCATTTTCTGCAATTTTGTAAGAAATATTATACCCCAATGTGTTGTGATGACAAATATCTGGTTAACCACATTACCCACACATGTGAAATTTTGGATATGGCTTTGCTAACGATTTGAAACATTGGACATCGAGAATATAGGCTACGTACTTTTTGATCGACCCTCGTAAGTTCAAAAGATTAAAACAAATAAGATTTCTAGAAGTTATGTAGGCCTGGAACCTTTTAACCAGCCCTCGTATGACGTATAAGAGAGGAAAGCCAGAAAGTGGTGTTTAGTACTTGTTAGTAAGCAAAAAGGTACGGGTCATATGGATCGCTGCCCATGTTGGCGTGTTTGGCAACGACACGCCGACCAAGCAGCCAAAGCGGCACTTAAACTCCTAGAACTTAACTTAAACATACCATCATCTAAAAACAAAATCAAAAGCCTATCAAAACAAAATATCTTCCGAAAGTGGCAAAGTAAATACCAAAATTCAAATTCTAAACTAAAAACTCTACTAAACAAAACACTCCAAATTTTTTTTATAAAAAACTACCATAAATCGAAAAGTATTGACAGGGTAATAACAAAATTACAAACAGGTCACATAAAATTAAGTTGGCATCTACCAAAAAACGTCAATAAACACAAAACAGACAAATGCACTCACTGCAAGAAAACAGAAATGTCCGAACACGTCCTACTACACTGCATACACTACTAACACAGAATGGCGCTCCAGAGTTCACAGGACACTAACACACATCTAACACTACAAACACCGCTATGCTCACTAAATAACACCCACACATTCAAGTCCTTATGTATATTTGTAATCCAAACTGGCCTTTACGTCGCTTGTAATCCCACATAACCAACTATTGCTAACGTAACCAAACCATCCCGTTGTTTATCCATCCAACAACCTCTGAGAAATTTCCATATTCAAAATTCATACAAATTAACGCCCACTTCAGGTTGCCATATCTTTCGGTCCAATCACCCCTCTAATAACCCCAAATTTACATCTGCATACAATTAAAAAAAACACAAACAGACAAATGCACCCACTGCAACTAAAGAGAAACGCCCGAACACGCCCTACTGCACTACATGCACTACCAACAACACAGAATGGCGCTTCAGAGTTCACTGGACACGAACACTCACCTTACACTTCAAACACTCCTACACTCACTACATCGCATCCAAACCTTCACAGCCTTGGGGATTTGTTATCAAAACTGGCCTTCTAAAGAGCATGCTGAAAATAGAGAAATAGCCGTGGCGTACTAGATTTCGATCAAATCTACGACCATAGGTTTCTGATATTTCCTTATAGTTCATACTTCCCCGGAAAGGTTAGCGATATTCGAAAATATCAGATAGTTACATGAAATGTTAAAGAGGCATCAAAAAAGGGTCCTGGATGGATAGTAAGAAGGCAGGGTTTGATGTACTCAGGATGCAAACAAGCGAAAAGGTCAGAACAGATATATTGTTAAAATGTTAACCTTTGAGATGACGGGGCATGCACTCACGACTGGTCAAACAATCGTTTAAAATGCGTGACATGGTCTGTGACGTAGTTTGACCACTCTTCCGTCCAGCGCTTACGGTTTGGCAATATCACGGCGGGGTACACGGAAATGGGCTTCACACATTGTAGCCATGTGGGGAATCGAACCCGGATGTTCGGCGTGACGAGCGAACGGTTTTACCACTAGGCTACCCCACTGCCCCGGCTGACGTAGGGGTTAACCTTTGACGTCAGCATTCTTTCCTCCCGATCATGTCCCTGGCGGACTCTGTGAGGGAAATGACTCATGGCTGGCCAGTGTTTTGTGGTGATGTTGCTTTATTCTGTTGGATGTAGTCATTTTACTATAGGTGCACACGACGCGGATTTCCATGGCGTCAGTATGTCGATCTGTCCAATGCTCCTTCCATGGACAATATCCGGCGGGTTTCTTGCAGTTCCAGTGCTCCCCCTGATATCATCGCATACTATGCCGTTCTGTGTACACACAGGAATTGAAGTTTATAATCTCAAATCAATTAAGTTGACAGTTAACTAGAATATTTTAAAATGTCAACATAAGCAAGTGTCTTTGATATAAGGAGGTTCAGTGTTTAAATACGGGTTGTTGCTTAAACGTTTGTAGTTTTATGTCACCATGGTATTTGATCACATGATCACGAGGCCCATGTTGACAGTGAGCCTCTATATTTAGACCAGGGTTTCGTGGCTATAGCAGAAAAAAGATGTGGGTTTGACCCTTTACTTCTGTAATGATTTTATGTCCGAAGAACCTAAAACAGAACATATATTTGATTGAAAACATTGCCAATTCAGACAACTAGGAATTCGTAAACTTTGAAAGGTTCAGGTTTTTGTGTTGTAAACTGGGCAAGGATTGTTCTTTCTTTAAAGTTTTCTAAACCTCATCATCAACTAGCTCCCAGCTAACACAAAACGTTAATACAACGTTTTTGAAGGGTTTCTAACAGAATTGTTTCATAAAAAGCTGTTATAAGTGAACATGTTGTCAAGTTGAATAGTGTGTTAACTGTTTATTTACTGGCACTGATTTTTGTATACTATACTAGTTACTGCAGGTCCAACATTGTTATTGAAAATGTAATCTCCCATTGACAGTTGTGCGTTTAAGTGCAGCCTTCTCTGTGTGGACAACTTGCTAGCTCTTGTAATTAATACGGGTAACGCTATTTTTCAGGTCATTATCATCGGTTTTCTGCAAATGATAATGCCCTAAAAATAGTGTTACCATTATTTTATAGCTACAATGGATAGAATTATCATCAAAACGCCCGCATGTTATCAGAAATGAGTGGGCCACTGTAACTTGATTATGCCCCAAAATTGCTTGACGACAAGTGCCCGTTGTTAGGTGACATAAGGAGATCAGCTCGTTTGAACTTGGGTTCAGTATTGACGATATTTCTGACTCACATTCGTCACATGTACCTGTGCCATTATGAACTTTCTTGCCGATGCCATGATAAGTAAATACTGGATTGTGATTGGTTAATTAAAGTCATTCAGAGGCATTCATATAACTACGTTATATCCCTCTGATTTTTCAATACAGTATATATATTTTTAAAATCTTAACATCGCGGTTATGGTAGAATGTAAATAAACATACTGTGTTTAAAACTCAG